GCAACCATTTTCCCCCGAAGAAGGATTTAACGGGCCATTTGTTGGAAGGCATTTTGATGACCACTACTTTTATGACAACAGTTCACATGGGATAAAACGACCATTTTTCATGACAGTAAGCTGGACTTCATTTAAATTTCTTTTTTTGTTGAAGGATTATTGTTTTGAGATTTCAGTCAGTGTCACACATAATGTAACTTGTTAAATGTTTTTTTTTTTTGGCATTAAGGACCATGATGCTGATTACATGGAGCCTAGCAGACTTAGACCTCGATTAGATTATTCTGATCCAGCAGCTCACACACATCGCTATCAAGGTATGGATTTTGTGCCCAATGTTCCTTTTTCCCTGCTTGTTTGTATGGATTGTTTTTTATCAGATTGCTCATGCTCATGTCTCTTTTTCTTTTAGATTCTTTTGGAGCTGACAGCAGTCTCTACTCACACGATTATTATGGCTCTGATGTGAGCACTCATAGCTTACTTTATGTTTATTGGTTCACGTCTTACACTTTACCATACTTTTGATATTCTACCTTCTGTCAGGTTACAGTATGGTGAAGACTCATATTCATCTTTTTATGGGAATGATCACCCATATGGAGGTGGCTATTACTACTAGATTTGAGAGGCTTTGGTAATTTGAATGTCCTACCTTCCTAAGTTTACTGCTGGCTGCGATATTGTTCTATTAATGTTTCTAAGGCTCTTGCAAGTGGACCAGGGATGGTGGGATGGACATCACTCAATGGTGGATTGAGGACTTTCTGCTCAAAGGAAAGCTAAAATTAGTTTCTATCTTCATTTCCTCTTTTCTTTCTATTTTTCAGTTGTCCTTATTAGACCTCTTTCCTCATTTGTCTTCCTCCATCTCCCTTCTCCTTCTTTATTCTCTTTTTTACAAATTTGTGAACATAAGTTTGTATCAAATGTGTCTAGTTTAGGTGATGCCTCTTCGTAGGACCTTTAATAGAGATGTCAATATGTTTTTGTGTAATAGGGTATGAAAATGGCATCAACTCTGTATTGCCCTAGATAGGAGCAGCTTGAGGACAGTAGGTATGCTCTGTTACGATTAGCTGCAGAGATTGTGTTACTTGATCATATTTTTATGTGGGATTGAATACACATGTTGATCATTTATCTTGAATCTTAGAGGAAACAATTGGGGTGACTATTTGTTTTCTAGAAGGCTGAGTCTCAGGTCAAGATTTTCTTTCATTGATGTATTCAGAAGTACCTTCAATGTTCAAATGGTGGTTTTTTGGAGATTACAGTTATTGTTTTGTGGGGAGAGAAAATTCAGCTCTCATCTTATATTTATGTCACATGGGAGTGAACCTTTTAGTAGTATAATCCTAACTTCATGATATAATCAAAAGGCTTATCATGCATTGGAGTTGACTTTCTATGATTACTTTTCATGATCATTTGTGTGATTTGAGGTTCATGGGATGTTGACGCTGACCTTATTTGTAACAAAATCGTATTAACTCTACCTCAGGAGCAATTGTAATGTGTAGTTGGATTCAATGTGTCTGACGTTCATGTGGTCAATTGTGGATAGGGACGTGATTTGCTAAGATCAAAGGTGGTATGTGATGTATTTAATGTGTATTATGTAAAGGAGTTGTGTTACCTGAGTGAAATTGTGGTTTTGAAGGTTTTGTTTTCATGCATATCCGGAGGAGTGTGAACAATCAACTGGGTCAGTGATGTTTCTTTGCAGTCAATATCAGTTATTATGTTTTTTAGGAAGATATTTATGAAATTATGATTTGATGGTGAAGTATATTAGGGACTCTTAGTGGTTATTTTTTCCTATTGACTGCCATTAGGTGGTCTAGGTTGGTATGGAGTCAATAATTTTTACAGTGAGACAAATTTGTGTTGTCATTAGGTGAATCATGTTTGAGGTTCCTTGCATTCCTCTAGTCACTTGTCTTGTATAGTTATAGATATGACTTTGGTTTGCATTGAATCTTATCTTAAAACTAGAGATTTAACCATCTCCTGTTATTAATCAAAATTCTGTTACATTTGGATTTCGGAAATAACATAGAAGAAAGTGATTTATGTATGATTTTGTAGGTCCAGTTTGAGTTTCTTTTAGTAGAATTAAATGTTTCAACATGCACACGTTATGAAAATTTTGGGGAAACTGTCTAATATAAAAGAAAATTTGAAGATGAATTAATGGAGATTAAAACCCATGATGGAAATTATGACCTCTTTGAGTATTTGTTTGACTGTGAGCTGATTCCTTCAAGGGAGCTTTTCGATCAGATGTGTGAGTCCATTCCTCTTCTTAATTTAGAACTTGAAGACTGCATTACCTTTCATTAGGACTTTTTCAAGTTCTACAGAATCTGTTTTGTGGTTGTGCTTTGCCTGTGTGCTAGGAGAACTCAAACGGGAAATAGGTTGAAGTTTGATATTGATATAACATAGTCCTGTGACTGAAGTTTCTGAAGCCTATTTGTCTCACTTTTGTGAAATTTCTAGATTCTGATACAAAGAGTATAGGATGCTGGTTGTGAAGTTCCTGCTTAGAGGGGAAAAAGTGCTAGTACGCCAATGATACCTTATATGCTGAGGACACAGCTTGTTGAGGTGTTTCTACTTGCTATTGTAGCGTAAACTTTGGAAATGGCTGGGAGATCACAGGTTAATTCGTAGCAGTTTAATTGTATCCTAGTTGTTGGGTTCTTTGCATCATCTTAATGCTTTTTTAATAAAATTTACTCCTTATTTAAAAAAAATAAATAAAAAGAACAGTTTAATTGTATCCTATTGGATGATCATTGTACATAGCATTCCATCAGTTAACTGTAACTGACAACAGCTTTGATGGTCCTGTTTAGCAATTTTCAGAATAATTTTGCCCAGAATATGGCATGAAATTAATCGATTTCTTATTTTTCCCCTTGAATTGCTGCCCCTAGGCTAAGAAATCGAGTGGGTGGGGTGGGGTGTTTTGTTCTAACATGAGGGCTGAGGGTAAAGTTTTATAATTTGTTCACCAGGTGGAATTTGGAAGCAGCATTACTGTTTTATGAGGTAATGATTGAAGATAATATATATAGCAGTCTCCACAAACTCTCGAGTTTAGTTCTATAATATAATCTATAATCCTTCGTGACACAAATAAATTCTGATGGTGTAGGTGTTTCTGGCACATTTGTGATAGTGATCAAATTTATTACAGATTGGTGGGATTATTGATTTCATTTAGGGTGAAGATTGACATTGGCATTTGGTGACATGCTTGATTTAATATAGACAATAGGTATTTCTGCTTTTCTTCGTATTTTGATTGATTACACAGAAACAGCTTCATGTATTGAATTTTCCCATCTGCTCCTTGCACTTCCTGTTTTCTGTGCTTATGTCCAGTTTTTGCCTCTCTCTTCCCCCCCTCTCTCTGAATTCCATTTGAAGTTGTAACAAAGGGATATTGGATCTTACATCAATGTACACCTATGTAAAATCAAAGTTTTCACATTCAGTAATTATTAGTGAAAATATATAAGACAAGGCTCCAAATGAATGGAAAGATCATTTTTTGGTAATTGGGTACAAATGTCTGATATGTTGACATGGATGTAGAACCGGGGGTAGGTATTGTGATTTTCCCTTGTACCGCTATGCTAAAACCCTGTCATCATAATTTTTCAGTTATGGACTATGCTTTGCTTAAAAGTTTTACAGGTTATATTACACTAAGGTTGCAACGACCATATCATGCCACAGCTCAGGCCTCAACGCATTTCGCTACCAACTGATTATGACACCCTTCCGAACCTTTTTTTGCCTCTCTTTTATTCTATATTTTATTTTATTTTTTTCCAGATTTCTTCTTAGGCCTGAACCTTCACCAAACTAAAGTCATGGTTGGCAACTGTAATATTTTACATTTGACGAGTAATGGTTAGCAAGGATGCACTTGATGAAGAAAGGGTAATTTGGCCCAACGTCAAGGATTGTCATTGGTGTCCGTGTCCTTGGTGGTGCAGGGTTAAGAGTCACGAAAACAGTTTTTATCGAGACAAGAGTAAGGTTTTGTACATCTTACCTCCTCTAGATCCCACTTTAACAGTAGTCTTATGCACTGAATTTTTCTTTTAAGATGCATGTAATAGTGTATATTGTTGGAGTGCCATGTGCAAGAGGGTTTTTTTTTTTTTTTTGGTGGTTTTATTGTTGATAATTTTGATCACTCCATGTCTGGTGTTTGATGGCTTAGCTTGTGTTTTGAAAGGAAGTGAAATATGCATAATTTTGTTTACAATTTTTGATGACCCCATATGGTGTTGTGGTTTTAACGTGTCTACTATTTTGAATTGCTTTGATGTGGTTCTGTGTCCTTTGTTTCTATTTGTTATTTTATTATTTTTAAGTAAGTTAAAAATAACTAATGACTTTCTTAAATTTGATTTGCATATTTCAAATTCTCAACACTTTCTGTACTATTATTATTATTATTAATGTAGCATTCTTGACAAAAAGAGGAAATGTATTTCCTAGTGATTGATCTGTCACGTTATAAATCTCTTTCTTTTACCATCTATTTATAGCTCTTGTATCCCTTTTGTGTTTATTTTTATTCAAAATTAAATAAATAGTGTGTGGATAAATTTTATTCTTTAATTATGGTAGCGTTGCACCATCGTCTGTGGAAGCCACACCAATTAATTTTTCTTTTTCATAGGGCCACCGGATTACCAAATGATATTATTTTGTTTGTATCACGTTTCCCACCTCCATCCGTTTTGTTTTTCTTTTTTTATTAATCATTTGACACCATTTCCAGTCTAAAAAGAAAAAGAAAATTGGTGGAATTTTGTGTTTATAGAATAAAAACAAAAAAATCAAGGAGATTACAAAAGGTATTTTATTTACTATCATTAATAATAATAATAATAACTAAGGCCTCAATTCAAAATTGAGTTAACTTGCCCTTGCCCTGCAACAATTTTGAATCACTAGTAAGCAATCAGTACAACAAGCATTTTGTTTTCCTATCAATCTGGCCTCCATTTTTCTGTAACCAACAACATAACATTAAACAGAGAGTTTGCAATATAATTCTGAAAGCAAAAAAAGACATTTTTTTAAACCAAAACAAAAATACTATCGAATCAGCCTACAGTGCCCGCAATTTGTGCGATGTGCAGCTCTATAAGCCTATAAAAGTTTTGTTTAAGAGAGAATACAGATACCACAACACACAACTAAGATGCGAGCTATTTCAAGGTGCTATAACGATTGGTGCCATGCTTGGCCCAATGATCCTTGAGATCAAGCGGAGTGGAAAGGTCATAACCCTCATCAGCAAGTCGGTTAAGCAATTTAGCAAACACATTCCCACTCATCTTTCTTCCCCCAACTCGAGCATGGCGTTTGTTGGACATCTGAGGTAGAGGATACATTGACATGGTGGTGGTGCAGCACGCCGATTGCCACCCACCGTTCCCCCACTTATAGCAAGGCTGAGGCACCCCGGTGCACGAGCAAACTGGGATCGGCATTGTTGACTCGTCAAAGTTGACCTGGTTCAACCCTAAATTATCCTTCCACACCATGAGATCACCGTCTAGGTCATCACTGTTGCCACCCAATTCCGGCTCGTTTTTCCAACCGTTGGATGTGTCCCCAGTTACTTGGCTAAAATCTTCTAGCCCCCTTTTACCCTTTCTCGGAGATTTGGACTTTTTTGTTGAAGTTGCTTTGGTCTCCTTTGTTTGCTTTACCTTTCTTGGCTTGGCAGCCTCGCAAGAAACTCCTGTACTCTGGTAGGGATTGCTTGTTGGAATTTCCCTTGGATCATATCCTGTTTCATCCAACTGATGTATGGAATGCATTTGCTGGTGGTGGTAAATGTTCTTTGCCCCATGTCCGATTTCATTTTCGGGTGAATCGGGAGATATGTTATTCTCGTTCATGGAACTCTCACGGAATTGAAGGGCGGAAAGGGCCTTGTCTCGATCATCGATTGCACTGTTCCGCTCTGCAATTGCTGCGTCTCGCTGCAACATTGCCATGTCTCGCTCGGCAAAGGCTCTCCTCCTCTCATCTAGTGCCATATTCCTTTCGCGGATGGCAGCATCCCTCTCGGCCATGATGGCCATGTATGTCTTTATCGTCAAATTGTTTTCCTTCAATGAAAACAGAAGTCAGTTAAATGGAACTGTACATAAATCTATAATTGCCCAATCATAAGCATAATTGTACAGGTCAGAAACCAAAATTTTAAAGTTTGGACAGCAAGTAACTGTCCTAATTTTCATTTGCTTATTAATGTCAAAACCATACACCATGATGGTTAAACCCATTTTGAGCATTAGCTAGAGTTTTGATCAATGTTCTAGACTCAAAACATAACAGCCTCGGAATTAAACGGCTTCAGGCATGGCAACCTAAAATGAATTTGTCAGTCATGGGTTTCTAAAGCATACCATCATGCAAGCTAGAAATAAGATTTCAGTTAACACAATAAGAAGTGCAGGGTCATACCATCGTGGATAATGGGCAACACTAGAAATCCATCCTCCAATATGCCTGTTTCTGCAACAGTGAAAACCCCGTCCAGCGAATCTGAAATCAAGAAAAGGACTTCAAACCCCCAATCAATTTAATTTAAGTTCTTTAAAACATTAAAAACTTTAAAGGCAATCAAGTATATTTTTGTCATACATTCAATATTGGTACGTAGAGTCCTAGGAACTGTTTCTGTGGAGATATTTTTATATTACACACAGAAATGTGGCCTTGAATGAATAGTATAAACTAGCTAGGTTGGTTCAGCTTCTAGTCAAACCACTCTGATAGCCAGATAGTTGGACAAAGAAAGAAGGGGTTCTTGATACAATTTAACATGGTTATATAGTGTGTTTAACTAAATTCCAATATCTCAAGAACAGCTTAAATGAATTTTAAGAACTAGTCAAGTCAGAAGCTTTTAAGGGCCTGCTAACAAATCCCATGGGGATAGTGAAGCTTTCAAATACCAGCCTCTAAATCCTAGGGATGCTTATAGCCTGTTGTTCAATAGATATTGACATGACCCACAACCTTTATTCTAGTCTCTGAATAATTCAGAGAGAACCATGTAAGAAATTGGAGCTCATGGATTCAGAACAGAAACTTTTAACATTAAAGAAATAGAATCAAGAGCTGCAAAAAGTGCATAGGAAATGAAGTATGTATATGGTATAGACATTTAACACATAATTTACCGTGGCTTTGAAGAATCGACAAAAGCCCTCCTAGTTGCCCCCCAATCTCTTTCTCTGCATGAGAAAAGAGTGGGGAGAGGGAGAAGATGAATGCTGTTTCAAAAGAATAAATTAGCCAAGTATGGTAACAGCAAGAAAACAATGAATACAAACAAATCAATGATCAACCAAAGAGACATAAAGTACATACACTATATAGGTGAAAAGATTGAGTATAAATTCCTAAAGTCAGAATTGTTAGTGTTCAACAATATGACAAGATATCAACATTTGAGAGAGAGAGAGAGAGAGTGAGAGACAGCTTCTCAATTGTTATTCAACTAAATCAACTTACAAGAATTTATTTTAAAGTTAACAGTGGTCAAGTTTTGGAGATGCATGGCATCCAGCATAATTTGTGTATAACAAAAGCTGATCAGAACCAAACACCGTAGTTCATATGCACATGAAGCTGCAAGGCCACTTACAGGCCACTTACATTTCTATCTTTGGGAATGATCATAGCATAGGACTATAGCAGCAGGTATAAGATAAAGATGAAGGAAAATCATCGAGAAGTTATAATCATACGACTACACCACACGCCACGGCTCACCACAACGACAATTTTACACCAGTCTTAGTCTAATTCTGTCATCAAAAGATTTTTATCCAAAGAAAATCTGATTAAAAATGTATCAAACATTTGCCAATACAGTGAGTCTATCCCATTTATGCACAAGCTCCATATTTAACTATGAAATAGTTTGAAATCCAAATAATACATACTATTCCCATAATGCAACATTTACCAACACATTAGGGTTTGACTTTACCACAATATTCTATAATACTTCTTCATCCAGGCAATCACCACCAAGAGGTGACCATCAACAATGTTTTTCAAACAGTATCTTATTCTCAATGTGAAGGCTGTTCACTTGTATGATGTTCCTTCTTTTTTCATCCATTTCAGCCGTGGTCTTTCAAAAAAAAAAAAAAGTGCCTAAATTACGATTATCTGAAATTTTCCTGCAGTAACATGATGATGGCTGTAACAAATTTAGAATTCCTGACTCATTATCTGAGAAGATAATGTTTCCATTACTGGTGCTATTACTATATTTGTGGTAGTTGGGACAGAAGATTGGGCAAGTTCATGAAGTCTATGAGGAGGAAGAAAAGCGAAACTGTGGAAAGGATTTGATCTTTAAAGGTAGTGGCTTGTCAAATGGACTCTCCTAAACAGATATATATATATACATATATATGTTTTTTCAGCTTAAAGATGGCAAGAGCCACTTGAAACTCAGATTCTGCTATAAGAAGAGCACAATTTCCAAACAACTTGAAGAAACTCCCAAAATAGGTTCCAAGTGCAACGAGCCAATCCAAGCAAATGAATCATCATTTCATGAGTGTGCATAAAACCAGGGCTACCCTCAAGTTACTTTCCACTTGCCAATCATTGAATCACTATGTGGTGTCTTGAAGGTGGTTGCTCACTAGGCAAGAACATATTTTCATCTATCAGTGCTCTATATTGAGCTTTTATTCATTTTTGAGTATTTGATTGATGTTAGGGACCCAAAAAAGTCATGAAGACTAAAATATCTGCAAACTAAAAAAATCCATAAGAGTGGATTTGAAATTATCATGTGACTCGCAACTATTAAAACTAAAAGAATACAGTTCATTTGGCTTGAGACAAAGCCTATCTGTCGATACAGTTTATAAATCCAAAATCAGATTTTCCCCCTTCACCCTTACTCATATGATTAAAAATAAATGAACAAAAACAAATAGAACCCTTTATAGCAATTCTATGTAATTAAAACTACCATTCCATTAGACACATCGTCTAAGAATAAAACTTGATAACTTTTCCTTAGCAGATTTAGAGTGACAAACTTTGGAGGACTGCCCAGCCATGCCCATCCATTTAGCATTAATAGGTAAAGAATGTGTTCAAGCTTACTGTCATTTAAAATCTTAGATATCCATGAGATTATACAACTAAGCTATAGACATCTTTATCAATAAACTTCTTTGATTCCTTGACGCTGCATTTGGTTGGGAGATTTAAGGAGAGATTTGGAAAGGAAAAGGAAAAAATTAAGTGAAATGTGAATAAAATATACCTATATTTCACCTAATTTCACACACCTTTTCCATTTCCTTTTCCATTTCCCTTTCCAAATCCCTCAACCAAACATAGTATAAAATAAATGAATTCCACCTAATGAAACCAATACTAATAATTAGGGTTGATCAACGGATGCACCGACCCGGCCCAACCCGACCACTTTTGGATGGATGCGTGACATGTAGCGGGTGGGTGCGGGCCCAAATTTTGGGTTTTTGCGAGTTTGGGTCAGGTTGCGGTTGATCCGCCTGTTTACCCATTAAACCCGACCCGCATGTGTTTGTCATTTTTTTTTTTGGCTCCCTTTTTCTAATTTGACCACACTAACCTAACCTAACCTAATTCATTCATCTTCTTCAATATATTACACACACTCTCTCTCTCTCTCTCTCCCCCCCAAAACCCTACCCATACCGACGGCGACGACGATCGAGCGACGATCTACACTGAAAAGCCATCGGCGATCAACGATAAGTGTTTTTTTTTTTTTTTAATTTGTACACCCTCAACCAGCCCTTTTTTGATAATCTCATATTAAAACCCTAACCCATTGGCATTCTTCGACCTGAAAGAGGATTGGCAATCGTGGTGTGGTGGTGAGATATTGTCTTCTCTTCTTCTTTCCTCTTCTCTTATTCTTTGATATCTCTAATCTATTCGTTCTGTAATTATTATTTTTTTGTTCGACTTCGACAACCTCTGAAGTTCTTATTTTTTGTAATCGGTTCGGTAATCTGTTCTGTAAATTTTTTTTGTTACGTAATCTGTTCGTTCTTATTTTCTTTCTTTTTCATTTTTTCATTTTTTTCTTTTGTACCAGTTTGTTGCAATTCTAAAGTGAAACCAATGGAAGAGAGGTTTTACACAGTGTGAAGAAGCTTACAGAGAGGAAAAAAAAAGTGTAAGTTTCCTCTTTTCTTTCCCTCTCCGTACACCAATTTTTTGTATTATGCAACAATGAATCTGTTTACAGTGTGAAGAAGCTCACAGAGAGGGAAAAATGGTGTAACTAAATCTATTTTTTGATTTTTTTTTTTAACAATGTTGAGTGGATAAACTAGAAAAAATGGTGTAACTTTCCATTGTAGCAAACTGTGTTGAATATTGAATTTGTAAACTGTGTTTGGATAAACTGTGTTTGAATATTGAATTTGTAACCAAATTTGTGAATGAAAAATGGAAAAACTTAACGAACTTATACAATTTGTAGGCAAATAAGTCTTATAATAATTCATTTTTCTAAAATCCCCTTTTTAGTTTTAGTTTTTTTTTTGGTTGGAGGATGTTTGTCTTTTTTTATTTACAAATTCTTCACAGAAACATTTGAAGCATGAGCTTGTACAAATAACAAATTTAGTTACTAGACCAGTACATCTGAATGAACTTTCATTTCTATTCTTTACCCTTAAAAATCAATCAAATGTAACTAAATTAAATGGGTTAAATGGATATCATGTTAGGATAATTTCAGGTACTAAGTAGTGCAATTTACTAAGTAGGCTTACTGAGTTAACATTGTATGAGTCGCTAAGTAGTTGCTAAGTAGTAATGTTTGTCTTTATTTATTTATCTTTTGGTCAGGTACTAAGTAGTGCAGTGTCAATACACAAGTTTGTTATTCATTCTCTCTCTTGTTCTATGTTTGGTTTTTGGCAATTTATTTGATTATCTTTTGGTCACGGATCCTCCAAGCGAAGAAACATTTTTTGTTAATCCTAATGTTGAGCCTGAATCATCTTCTATTGACCCCTCTATCCAACCTATTGCTCCCCCTCCTAGACCACCCTTGGCCAAAAGTAGTAGTAGTAGTAGTAGTAGTAGTAGTAGTGGGAGAACACAATCAAAGGCTTGGGATCATTTTGAAAATATTAAAGTCATGTTTGATTCACAAAATTAATAGTGAAGTATTAATGATCCTATTAAATTAGTGTGGTATTCACTATCCAATTGGATTAATATCCATTGGATTAATAATTCCACCCCTACCCCATTACTAATAATCCTACAAATTTGTTGAATTAATTGTCCATTGGATTAATTATCCTAAACCAAAATGTTAAAACAAACATAGGATAATTGGGCCCACGGATTAATAATCTCAATCACATGCTCTAATCCACTCAATCAAACATGCCCTAAGGGTATTGATGGAAAAGATAGGGCTATGTGCAAGTATTATAAGAAAGAATATATGGCACGCTCCAAGAGTCCTGGAACAAGTAATTTATTAACTCATTTGAAAAATTGCACAAAGTATCCATATAGGGATACTCAGGGGCAACAAACATTGGGATTTACAGCTAGAGAAGTTGGTGGGGAGGGTGGTGTTGAGGTTGTGGCTACATCATTTTCTATAGAAGTTGGTAGGAGGTATCTTGCCGAGATGATAGTAATTGATGAATTGCCCTTTAAATTTGTGGATGGGGTTGGTTTTAAGAGGTTTTGTAATGTCATGCAACCCAAGTTCAAGATCCCATCTCGACATACCGTTGCTAGGGACATTGTAGACATATACACTAATGAAAGGGCGAGGTTGAAGAAACTTGTGAAGGGACGTAGAATTTGCTTTACCACAGACACATGGCATTTCATACAAAATTTGAGTTATATGTGTCTAACAGCACATTTCATTGATAATGATTGGAAGTTACAAAAGAGGATCATTAATATTTGTCAAGTTGAAGACCACAGAGGAGAAACTCTTGGTAAAAAAATTGAGGCACTCTTAATAGAGTGGGACATTGATGGCCTTTTTACCTTAACTGTTGACAATGCGAGTTCTAATAATCCAACCATTAGATTCTTGAAACGAACCACAAACCTATGGAAATGAACTGTCTTGGGTCATGACTTTTTACATATGCGTTGATGTGCGCATATTCTAAATCTCATTGCTAGTGATGAATTGAAGGATCTTGAGTCTTGTATAGCGAATGTGAGACATGCAGTGAGGTATGTGAGGTCTTCTCCAAACCGCCTTGAAATTTTTAAAAAGTACGTAGAAAGTATAAAAATTGAGAGTAAGAGCCTCTTGTGCTTAGATGTGCCAACACGGTGGAATTCCACATATCTTATGTTGTAGGCGGCGAAAAAATTTGAGAGTATTTTTCAAAGAATGGGTAAGGAGGACTATAATTATAAACACTACTTTTTGGATAATTAAGGGGTGAGAGGAGAGAGATGCCTCCAGCCGAGGATTGAGATAATTGCAGGGTGTTTTTGAAATTTCTTAAAATGTTCTACAATGCAACAAAGAGATTTTTTGGGTCTTTATTTGTTACTTCAAATACATTCTTCACAGAAATTTTTGTCATTGGAAACATGATTGGACAATTAATCAAAGATAATGATCCTATTTTGTCTTCAATGGCAAAGAAAATGAAATAGAAGTTTGACTAGTATTGGGGAAATGGAAATAAAATCAATCTCCTTTTGTATGTTGCAGTTGTGCTTGATCCTTGAAGGAAAATGACCACATTTGCAATTTTGTTTTTCAACAATTTTTGGTGGGGATGTAGTGAAAGTGAAAGAAATGTTAGACAAGGTGAAACATTGTTTAAGTCAATTGTATGATCATTATGCCACGCTTGATTCAACAAATGTGCATGCCTCTAATTTAAATGAAACAATAGATGTTGTGATAGATGAAAATGATCCACATTAGAGTGACAATTTTGTAGTAGTGAGAGTATGTCGAAATTGGACAAGTATTTGGGTGATATTGAAAAAGGTGAGAAAAATGCTCAATTTGATATCTTAGAGTAATGGAAGGTTAATGCAACAAAGTATAAAGTATTATCACTTATAGCACGAGATGTGTTGGCAATGCCTGTTTCCACTGTTACTTCTGAGTCGGCTTTAGTGCAGGAGGTCATATACTTGATCCATTCCGTAGTTCACTTGCTCCCAATATGGTGAAGGTTCTTGTTTGTACACAAAATTGGCTTCGAAGTAACATTCCAACATGCCTTCGGCAAGCAATGGATGATGTTGAAAATTTTGAACAACAATATGATTCAGGTAATATATATATACAATGATTTATTTTGTTTTAAATTTTATTGATTTTGTATTATTCAAAATTCATTATCTTCACTTCACATGTTTTTGTTGTAATATGTTTTATGTGTAGTTGTTTCGAAATCAAATTCATGTTCAAGCCCAAGTTTGGAGAGTTATTTTATTTAAGTTTAATATCATTGGTAAAATACTTCCCCTTTATTAAATTTTGTGACTTTTTAGTGTTTTCCTTATTAAATAATTTCATTTTTTTGTTATACAGACTTAGATGGCTCATGGCTTGGCTCAAAGAAATCAATGCCTTTATTGTTTCTTTTTAAGTTATTTTGAAAATATGACCATTGGTTGAAACTTTCTTTAGATGACTATAATACTTTATTTTGGATGATTGTATTAAGACGCTTTAAATTTTTTGGATGAGTGTAATATTTTATTTTGGATGATTGCAATCTATGAAGCACGGACACGTCCCTGAGGCTTGCGTATTAGTGTCGGACACGTGTCGGACACGGACACGCGTACGACACGCTGTTGACACGTGTCCGACACTCCCCTGCGTGTCCCCCTTTTTTCAGAATTTTTCAGAGTCGGACACGAGGTTGGACACGCGAGGACACGATTCAGACACGCTGGTGGGTGGATCGAAGAAGCCCTAGAACTGTTGAAGAGGAGGAAGAGAGAGAGCTAGAGACAGAGACAGATCGCGGGAAGAGAGAGAGAGGGAGATAGGTCGAGGGAAGAGAGAGACAGATTGAGGACAGAGAGAAGAAACCCTAATCTGTTCGTCTTCCTCGCCTCCCTCTCTGCGCCTCGATCGACCATCGATCGCCCTCGCTTGACCATCGATTGACCATTGACCTCGTCTCCCTCTCTGCGCATTGTTTGACCCTCTCTGCTCTCTCTCTCTCGCTAAAATTTTCGACGCAACCATCGATAGCTATATACGTTATATACTAACAATATATATACATATATATATATATATATTTATATACTAATAATAAATTATATACTAATAATAAATAATATAAATAAATAAATAATATAACCCCTAACCTTTCTTTTGGTCTTAAATAATATAAATAAATACAAATAATATATTTATTTTTTAATTTTACATATAATAAATAAAATTAGTATATATTTTTTAATTTTGCATATAATAAATAAAATAAATAAATAAAAATAAATACAAATAGTATATATTTTTTAATTTTACATATAATATATAAATAAAATTATATATATTAAACGTGTCCCCAACGTGTCGTGTCCCCCATTTTTTGAAAAATTGCGTGTCCGTGTGTCCGTGTCGTGTCCCGTGTCCGTGTCCGTGTCCGTGCTACTTAGATTGCAATACTTTATTTTAGGTGATTGTATGTTGAAAATTTGTGTTGCATTGTTGCGCCCATTGTCCAAGTTGTTTGTTGTGCCCAATGGGAAAAACAGAGTTCGTTTGTGCCCACTGCCCACTGGTTGTTTGTTTGTTGTATATGCATGCACAGCACACTGTGTAACTGAATCTGAATAGAGTGTTTGTTTGTTTGAATCTAAATCTGAACAGGTTGTTTTTGTATATTGCAGCAATGCAAACTGATATAGAAGTCTTCTGTGATCCCACACACAATGTTTGAACTAGTTTGTAATACTATTCTATTATAAGTTGTTATATTCTATTAATAGAAGACTTCTAATAGAATAGAAGTCTATTATTATGCATGCACAGCGCGCGCACACACTGTTTGTAATACTATTGTTTGTGTGTTTTTGCTGTATATGTGTTTGTTTGCTTTGCCCACTACAGTGTTTATTTATGTATGCATTGCACATAGGTGGTGGTTGAGAAAAGAAGTGCACATTTTTTTTTTCTTTTTTTGAGGAAGTACACATGTTAAATTATGTTGAAAATTTATAAAATTTTAAACCGCCAACCCAATTCGCATCCATCCACCAATCCGCATCCGCCGGATTGGCAGATGGATGTGGATGGATTTTCTCCAATCCGGCGAACGGATGACGGATTAGAAGTTTCGTGGCCGCAACCAACCTGCGACCACCCCTACTATGGATTTTCTCCAATCCGGCGAACGGATGACGGATTAGAAGTTTCGTGGCCGCAACCAACCTGCGACCACCCCTACTACTAATTGTAAAAAACATGAAGTCCTTGAATGCAGATGATAAATCTCATGACACAACTAACAAATATTTAAAAAAAAAAAAAAAATAGTGCAACAAAACTATCCAAATGTCAAATTTTGTAGAATGTGTACCTCAATTGAACAATGCAAGCACCAAACTTCTCAAGGAAGATTATATTGTTGACCTTACCTGAAAATTTAAAATCCTTGTGGATATTTAAGTCCAAGGTAAAATTCAGAATACAAATTATACAATTAGTATTAGATGTCACATATAATATAAGAACATAATTAGAAGAAAGAGGTTAAAAAAACAAATGACAAAGAAAAAAGAAAAAAGAAAAAAGAAAAAAGATATCACAGAACATCTAAATTCATACACCAGTCAGAGACTGTTTTCAGTGGAACATTTTTCTGTACTGCAATACGTATATTGCAAACAATTCATAAATTCTTCAAACTCAAATATTGAATGCGCCATGATTCTTCTGTAATTAATAATAATAATAATAATAAATTATTATTATTATTATTAGTGTGGAACATTTTTCTGTACTGCAATACGTATATTGCAAACAATTCATAAATTCTTCAAACTCAAATATTGAATGCACCATGATTCTTCTGTAATTAATAATAATAATAATAATAAATTATTATTATTATTATTAGTACTATTATAATTATGTAAAATGAAAACAAAGAAAATATATATATATACATACATATTTTTTTGATAAGAGTATTTTTATTAAAAGAAGAGCATCAAGAATATGCTAACAAATACATCTACGAAATCTGCCAAAGAATATAAATCCGGAACCACTTTCCCCAAGACCCAGCTATACAAAATCACAAAGAATCTATTTTTCAAAAAAGGTACCAGGACCGCCACCCCTTAGAAAATTCATCTATCTTACGCTCCAACCAAATCAACCACATCAAACACAATGGCGCCAAGTTCCAAGCCTTCAAACACTTTCTCCCAACCCCGCCCCCTTTCCAACTACAAAGAACATCCACCACTCACTTCCTGAAAGGGTCTTGCTAACACGTGTCCTTAGGACACAAGAAAAAGACAAAAAGCGGAAAGATCACAAGACACTTTTTACCCATTCAAAATATTTTTTCATAAATTTCATAAAATATCAACCTCTTTATCTTTTTTCCAAAACACTTTTCATCCAAGTCCATATATTAACTAATGCTCGGGACAGTTGTTAGCATTTGTGTTTCCTAATGTCAATGCAGTATTTTTTGTTATGGTGCAACCAAAAAAATTTCAATATGCTTTTAAGACAATTATTTCTTAGGTTTGATTTAGATTTAGAACTCAATTAGGGCAGAAAAGGCTGTGGATCTCTTGAATCTGTTATTTCCTCCCTACCTCATTCGTCAAGTTCTTAATAGGTATTCAGCACCACAATTTTTCACATTAGAACAAGCACAAAAAATATCTACTTAGTTTAGGTAACCTAGTTAGCTAGCATCATGGGAAGAAATAAGTTTCTTTCATAATTCATACTCATTATTTCATCAAAGTGATTTCAAGATTGTGCAGCCGTATGCTATGTTGCAAAGAAATGAAATCGGAAGTAACAATACTTTTTGAGATGATCGGGAAACTGAATGTCGAAGGTCAGTTTCCTGCGTGCCACATCCCAAATGTTGGTCTAAAAGCATTTTCATATTTCCATACGCTCTCCATCATCGTTCCAATCGGTCCAATTCATCCAAACACACGATATGCATTTGATAGAGATAGTGTGTGGATATTTGTAATTGTATGTTTATGATAGAATTTATTTCCAAATCTTTCAACAAAATTCACAGCTTGGCGAAACCTAAACTACTATGAGGAGTTGACCAAATTCACTTCACCAAACGCAAAACATTTCCATTCTCAACGTGCTAAAACAGAGAATCAAACTTTTACATCATATACAAAATCAAACTTGCTAAATACACGGTCAAAAACACAAATTTACACAAAATCGAGAGCTAATTCAGAGAATACCAAAAATCAATTCACTCAAAACACCGAGAAGACGATCGAAACCGTGAAATCGAAAATAGGTAAAGAGATCGGAAATGCGATCGATTAGAACAAAACAAAACAAAAACAAAAACAAAAACAAAAACAAAAACAAAAACAAAAAAATATTGAAGATAAAATGCTTACCAGAGAATCAACGCAGAGCTGATTCGAAGTTTTTCTTCGTCTTCTCAGAAAGAGAAAAAAGAAAGTGATATATATTTGGCTTAGCTGTTGCCAATGACGACTTCGAAGATGCTTTTTCTCTCTCTCTTTCGTGTGTCAGTCTTGTCTGTACATTTTTTCTTTTTTAAATACGGGGGATTTGGGGCATGGGGGAAAAACGTCGGCGTTTTCGGGATTTAGATGGTGAAACCACGGCGTTTGGACCAGAGGTGCAAGTCTTCACCGCTCTGGTCCTGACGTCAAAGAAGGTTTTTGAACCGCGTCTACAGTTGTCTTCGTGTATTGACCCCACCACATTATCCCCTAATCAAACCCCTTGGTACACCAACTTTGAAATGGAGTAATTGTTGGTTTTTATTTTTCTTTTTTTAAAAATTTTTACAAATTAAGAAGGTTTTTTAAAAAAATTTCTTTTTTTTTGATAATTTAATCGGTTCATTTTGTGACATTTTATTGTATATTATTTATGAAAAAATTTACTTAATTAGTCAATTTTAATATCTTTATTTTATTTTGTTTGTCTAAAAAAAATAATCTATAAACCGTTTTACAAAATAAACTGTTCAGATTATCGAATCGAAACCCATGATGGATAACACCCTCAAATTCTCTCAATCCTAATTACTTAATAATTCAAAAACCATCATAATAGATCAGCTGGTAGTTATTTATGTGGGTATATTCGGGTTGAGTAATATTAGAAATTCTAAAAGTTCTATTAAAAATTTTATCAAATGTCTTACATGAGTGTGTGACCTACATGGGACTCACATTGTATGGGTTTCACGCCTATGTGATACATTTTGTAAAAAATTCGATAAAATTTTTGAAATTTCTAATATTTTTCATTTGAATTTTGGTATTTATTACCACTTTGTGAGGTTAAGCCTACTCTTTTGTGCCCAGAGCACGTAGTGGGACATTAAGCCTACTCTTTTGTGCCCAGAGCACGTAGTGGGACATTTGTTTCAACCCTGATGTAGGTGTAGTGGGATCTCCTACAAATTGTTATGTAGTGCTGAGGAATAATTCTTTATAGCAGTATATGTGGATTAGCTTATTTATATATCTTTTTGTTTATAAAAAATATAAATAATAAACACATAAGATTATGATGATGTGTAGATAGACTAGGATTCCCCGTAATAATTTTTTGGGCTTGGCTTCTCCAGTCCTTAATCGAACTGGACCGTGCTGTTGGATCCGTAGAAGCCCATCACGGGTCCCGTTTTGATAATCTGAATCGTTCAATGTGTAGAACTCGTCGAGTACTATAAGCCTATAAAAAATCACGTTAATCGGATATCGGTAGCTATGTGATCAAATCAGTTTTGTATAAAAAAAATAGACAATGAATAAATTAACAGTTGACAAAAATCTGATTTGATCACATAGCTACCGATATCCGATTAATTTGATTTTTTATAGGCTTATAGTACTCGACGAGTTCTACACATTGAACGGTTCAGATTATCAAAACGGGACCCGTGGTGGGCTCCCACGGGCTCAACAATACGGTTCAGTCCGATTAAGGACTGGACAGAAGCCAACGCCTAATTTTTCATACTACTCCTAAATAGAGACAATTTGACTCATTTACTTTGCTAAGCGAAAAACAAAATCAAATTGTTGGCCGAATGCTAATGCCACTATGATATTTCAAAATTATGAATAATTTTTTAAAATATTACTTCTTTTTATAGGAGGTGTAGAAAGATTTAAAACACTACATGATAGAAGCATGTAAATTCACTAAAAAAATTTGAAAGCCCTATTGTTGAGCAAGAGGAAGTTCCAAATCAATCACAGCTGATAGAGAATTCTATTAAGGAGAAGAAACAAATTCATTTGGGAAGTGGGTTGGCTTTTTTATTTTTTGACTTTTTTAGTCTGGGGTTAAAAAATTTCGTTTGGAAAGAATTTTTTTGGTTTTTTTGACTTTTTGTGAAAAAAGAATGTAATAATTATGGATTAAATGTGATATTTTGCTTTATTGAGTTAAAAAAATTATTTTATTTTTTTGTGACTATTTTAGTCAAAAAAAGCCCAAACCTCAACTCCCCAAACGAGGCGAAAGGCTTGAAAGTAGAAGCCTAGATTGCCTAAATCACCTCTCATCCTCCATACTTTTTAGGTATTTTACAAAACAATTCACTCATGCGTGTGGTTTGTCTTAAGCTTCAAACATGTTGTTAGGCAATTCCACTGCCACCTTTGATCTAAAGCAAAAACCACCTGATATCCATAATGAGCACCTCCAGCCACTCCAGCACCAGCGAGGACTCGGAGACTCCAGTAGCTCAAATTACCAGGGTGCAGCACAGCTCGATGGGATCATACCTCGAACCAAAGAGCATAGCCATTCACCTAGTAAACATCGAGTGGTGGATAGAAGAGATAAGGCTGAATATCGAGCCCAGGTGGGTAAGCGTGGGAGGAAGACTTCTGCAGGCAACATAGATGGCAGCTCTAAGGCCATCAGAGCTATCCAAAAAGATAGTGAGTAAATATCTTGGTCTGGCTAGCACAGATCCGCTACCCATCATTCCTAATCGTTCATCAATGAATGTTATGCTGTGGAACTGTCAGGGAGCCGGCAACAAAATCTTCAGAAGAAACTTTCGAGAACTTGTTAGACTTCATCACTATAATGCTGTGGCTCTGTTTGAAACAAAAGTTTTTTTTAGCTCTATGGGACTTTTCTTCAATCACTTGGGGTTTACTGCCTCTACCATTGTAGATCCTGTTGGGCGAGTTGGAGGTATATGGCTAATTTGGGACCCCTCACAAGTATCTGTTAGCGCTCATATTGCCAATTCCCAAGTCATCCAAGCCATTGTGAAAAGAGAAAATTATAAAGATTGGGTCCTAGCTACTATTTATGCTAGCCCAAATATTGGCATGCGTCAAAACCTATGGAATGAGCTGGAAAACTCTGCAAACACCATAAGTAGCCCTTGGCTTGTTGCGGGCGATTTCAATGACATCATGGGTCAGAATGAACGAAGGAGCTTCTCACAAAATAGGCAAAACTACAGATGCAGAAAGTTTCTTGACAATATCAACCGCTGTGGACTTATGGATCTTGGTTGCACAGGCTCGAAATTCACTTGGTCCAATAACAGGCAAGGTATGGCTAACACTATGGAAAGATTAGATCGTGCTCTTTGCAATGCGGAATGAAGAACCACATTCCCTGAAGAAGCAGGCAGAAACTTACCTCGGACTTATTCGGATCATTCACCCCTTATGGTCTACACTGAAAGTATAACCAAACTCAACCCTGTTAATCGTCTTTTTCGTTTTGAAGCTGCTTGGTTATCTCATTCTATATATAGGCCCTGTTTGGTAGGGCTTATTTCTAGCTTATTTCAGTTTTTAGCTTAATTTAAGCTATTTTGATGTGTTTAGTTCAACTTAACAATACAGTTTATAGCTTTTTGTAAGTCAAAAATCAACTTATTCTTTGAGTGGGGGAGGAGAAGCTTAATTTATAAGTCAAAAATCTGCTTATGTTCACAGTTATAAGCTATAAGCTATAATCACTTTTCCACAGCTCTATCAAACAGGGCCATAAGGATATTGTTAAGTCTTCTTGGAATCATGCATCTTCCATTCAGGACAACCTGTTTTCTGTTGCCACTAATTCTCTTACTTGGAATAAAGATGTTTTTGGGAATATTTTTAAAAGGAAAAGGTGGCTTTTATCTCGAATTGAGGGGATCCAAAAAGCTCAATATTCCGTTACTTTCCCTTTTCATAACCTCCTTCGTTTGGAAAAAGATCTTATTAATCAATATAATATAACTTTTTTTCAAGAAGAAATTCTTTGGTTTCAAAAATCTAGAGCTAATTGGATCACTCAAGGAGAGAGGAACACTAAATTTTTTCATGTCTCTACCATCACTAGAAGAAAGAAATTAAGGATTGACTCTCTGAAAAACGACCAAGGTGTGTGAATTGATAACCCACTCTTAGTCCGTAGTCACATTCAGAGCTATTCCATGACCTTATTCAATAATGATCCTGTGACTGTCTTAGATCATTGGTGTAATATTTCTACTCATAAATTTTCGCATGATGAGAATAACCTTCTGTTGAGAAATATTACTAATGAGGAAATTTGGATTGCTGTCAAGAACATTAGTGCTTTCAAGGCTCCTGGAAAATATGGCTTTCAAGCCATTTTCTACCAGAAATTTTGGGATTTGATTGGGAGTGATGTTTGTGATTTTATCAAGAACCGTTTCCACTCTAAACTTATACCTCCTGTTGTGAACCACACTCTTATTGCACTCATCCCCAAACTTGAAATTCCTGAGAATATCACACAATTTCGCCCTATTAGCCTCTGCAATGTTTTGTATAAATCTTGTCTAAAATCTTAGTCAATCGCATTCGGCCTCTCATCAATGATCTTGTCAGCCCTAACCAAAGCAACTTTATCCCCGGTAGATCAACCCATGACAATATCATCATCGCTCAAGAGTTGATCCATACTTTACGTCATAAAAAAGGTAAACATGGTAGCATTATTATCAAGATCGATCTAGAAAAGGCTTATGATAGAATTTCCTAGCCTTTTTTGAAAGCTACCCTTGAAGATTTCAATCTTAACCAACATTGGATTGATCTCATAATGTCTTGTGTGTCCTCTGTGAACTTTTCTATCTTATGGAACGGTGAAACCATGGACAATTTCAACCTTGGTCATGGTCTTAGACAAGGTAACCCTCTTTCACCATATTTGTTCGTTCTTTGCATGGAGAGATTATCTAATATGATCAGAGTGCAGGTGGATATAGGAAAATGGATGAGGTTGAAAGCTTCCAAAAACAGCCCACCAATCTCCCATCTATTTTTGCGGATGATCTCCTCATATTTGCCAAAGCTGATCAAATTAACTGTGAGACAATCTTGGAAACCATGAATGAATTTTGCTGCATTTCAGTGCAAAGAATCAACCTCCAAAAATCCAAAATGTATATCTCCCCCAATATCCATAGGAATTTAGCCAACGAGCTCAGCTCTTTGTGTAATATCAGCTTAACTCAAGACCTTGGTAGATATCTTGGAGTGTCTCTTATCCACAGTAGGGTCA